CTGTCATTTACTTCCGCATGATCATATCTGGCGATATATCTTCCTCAATGAGTCCCTTGATGCACGTGCCGTGTTTAGAATAGAGAGAATAGCCCTCAGAGGAGTCCAGACCGAAGCTGAATGAGTAACCGAAAGGTCGCCAGTTCGAATCCCAGTGACGGCACCTTACTTTTTCTGAATATATTTTCCTATATTTTGTGTCAGCAAACGAGCCACCTGTCGCTGGTCCCTCCAATATAAAGTATCGTCGCAATCGAGAAACAATATCGGCCTGATCGGAAAACGCTGCGGCTAACAAAAACGTCGGAAAAATTGAAAATTACGGACGACTCGTACTGCTATTTTGCACTCATATGAATTTTGAAATTCCATTTCGATTCTGAAATCACATTATTCTCGGAGTTTTAAAAATGAATTCAGCAGGTTAGCCTCGGAAGGAATATATAGTTGGCTTCCTCAGCTCAGCTCAGGCGCGTCGAAAATTTCTCCCTTTGATAAACATACTACTCCAATTTCAGCCTGCTCCTCGTAAAGCTAATCCAAATTAATAACGATGCGACATGGTCTCCTGCACTTCGGAGAACCCAATGACGTTTCAGCAATCCTACTCACATGCGTTGTAAAAATCGGGTTTTTCACTTTGCATTTCACGAATTTCGCGAGCTTCGCGTTTTACACTAAATGGCGATTTCCACTAGCGTCTTTTCGTCTATCTATCAATCTGCACTTCGCGTAGTTTTTTTTTCTACGCATTCCCCAGCCTGTGGGAGGGAGAAACATTCCTTTCATGGAGAATCTCAAGAGGTGTGGTCGTCGAAAAGATACTGTGGGGCTCGCACAGCCCTACCCACTAAAAACCCACCAGAGGCCGACGGACCCAAAATGCAAAACGCCTGATGAAGCCAGCTCCTACTAGCCACCCCTCACACAGGAGATTCGCGTAGTATTCTACGCATAAAGCTGTAGTACATGTTTTATGCATGCATCTCCAGTGAATCACAGACCGTTTCTCGACAATTATCTCCCCGTGTTAACAATTGTGTTACTAATGTTCCAATTGTTACATCTATTTTTGAAGCTATAGATGAATAGCGTCCTGTCCCTGAGATGTCCTCTCCTACTCGTAAATAAGTTGCGTATTGCTAAAATATATTTTCCTTCACCACCTCCAGTCTTATCTACTGCGTTGGTTACACCCGAATTCCCAGGAAGTAGTAAAACGTTAAAACCATGAAAAACCAAACTTACTCTTGAAATTTATACTCCGACGATGACGACGACGACGAGCGACTAACCTTGCATGAAATAGGAGAGGAAAGAGTTCTCATACAGAATCAAACAAAGAATTCTATTCCAACAACTGTGTTGCAATATATGTCTACTTTCCTTAGCTGAGCTAAAGAGCTCCCTTATTATGGAAACTTACACATGTTGTGCAAAAATTTCCCAAAATTTTCTCAGAATTTCCATTTTTTTCATATATTCCTTATTTTCCCACACTTATTGCAACCACTCGTTCGCATATTTTTCAATCCGCATGTGTGCAGCCGATGCCATATAATCCAGAATTCATAATAACAAAACACTGACACGAAGTTTCCGAGTAAATCCCTTTAGGGATTTTCCCTCGCGATGCAGTAGTCTTCAGCACTTGCATGAAAAATACAATTTTACTTTTAACTTTATTTCTCTACTTTTAATACCAACATGTCCTCGAATACTCCTAGTAACAGTACACATTTTCCAATATCGCATACACCCTCATCAATAAAATTGTCGAATGTTGAGCCAAATGCGGTATTCGAAAATTGAAATTTAATCAGCGTATTTTTGTCAAGAATTATATGTTTCACGTATCAGAACTCATGCCTCGACCACACTCGTACTGTACGACTTCAAAATGTTCCCGGGAGAGGGAACTCATTTTGAATTTTCCACGGATGGCTAGGAACACATTCTTCAATCAGTTTCCCATGTAAATGTCATCATCACATTAGGAACATTTTCCCCATTGTTATCAAACCCTGTGGGACGTCATTTCTCAAAACTAGATGGGTCCCTGGTCGAACACTTCTACCAAAGACTATGCCGCGCGCGATCTGAATATTTGAATTTCGTGTGGTACCCTCCACTATTTTTCATATCAATCTGAAATTCATGATCAAAATTTTTCCTTGATTCGACCGACAACGAGCTCAGACCATGACAATTTTTGGTAAATATTTGGTAAAAAAATAGTTTTTTTCCTGCCAATATTGTACGGAAATTACTACCACTCGGATTGCTCTAAAATTATCAAAACCAGATGAGAAAATTTCATCGAAAAATAAAGAGCCACAAAAAATTCCACTTCGGATTATTTTCCCCACTGTTTTTCCGTTTCCGGAATAATTTGCCCACTTACCACGCTACGTTTGGTAATTGACTCCAATCTCTCTGGACCTTCGTCATCAACCCCTTCGGTGACACACTGGTGTCACCACTTTGGGTGCTCAGCACAGTGCCGTTACGACTCCCACTACACGGGCCTGCGCAGTGTGAGAACATATGTACATGGTCAACTAGTACATGTGTTGATGACAATATGAAAACTTCATCAAATTTTGACAAAATTCTCACTGGGAACTAGACTTCTATTAGAATGAAAACTTCTATAATTAGTGAGGAAGCTAGTGACTCAGCTGAGGAAAGCGAACATATATTCAGCAACACTCCCTGCACAAATTAACCATAATTCCTACGAATCACCAATTTTTCTTCGTTTTCACACACATCTACTCCCAAAAGTACCCTCTTGAAATAGTGAGCAAACTCTTGAGCTCAGCTGATCTCAACACAAAATGAGAATACCGCAAAAACTACATAAAATGGTGATCTCCTATTTTCATTCAAATAATTGGATTTTGCGTTGACATAAAAAGCGTCGACTCTTTATCCCGATTCACTAATTGGAGTTGCATCTGTTTTACGTGAAGTGGCGTTAAACTCGGTGAAAAACGCGAAATTCGCGATGATATGTAGTAGTCGTGAAATAGGTTTTTCACACCACGATCGTGAAACTCCAATGTTTGCTCTTTAATACGTATATTATCCCTCGTGAATTCATAAACTAACAACAAATCTCTGGGACGTAATTGTGGAGAAACGCTCATAGGCCGACATAGTAGAATACAACAACAACTTGGTTAATCATTAATATGTTGCACGCACGCACAACAACAACTCAGCTATTACGCCGAAGTAACCAGAACTAATGTACAACGCTACCATACAAAACGGCGCCTTTCATAACTACGAGTTTCCACCAACAATGAAAAACGTGCAAATCTCAACTTGCCATAATAATAATAATACTTCTCCTGGTGATCACCCGTAGAGAGAAAGAATACTTATATAAGCTCAGCGATAAAGTTGAGGTCAACTCCAAAACCGGGGCTACTACTAGCCCTCGTGATAAGGAACGGTTGAGCTGACTTAAATACATGATAATAGAGTAACAATGAAAACAGCAGCGTGCGATAATATAACACAAAAGGTCGCAGGTTCTATCCCGGCACCCGACATTTAATATTGCCATGTGCTAGAACCAACCACTTCACGACACAGCGGACAGTTATGGATGTGCCTCTCTGAACCATCATCCGAGTCCCTCTCAAAACAGTCGAGAAAGCACTTCTCATGTAAACAGTGACCACAAGGTAATTGCCGTAATAAATCTCCTTCCTTGAATTCATCGAGGCAAATCGCGCAGCACCTCCCTTTAAATTCCTTAGTCATTGTAGTCAACTTAACAGTCTTAGTATTGCGCTCAGCCCACTCCTCGAAGTCCTCTCTTGCGCGGAAGTGAGCAACGCCTTTTTTGAAGGAATATATGCAGGCAATTACCATCGCAACGAGGAGAATACTTCCCAATGTGTATGCGAGAATTGCGGCCAAACTGGACATTAAAGTGATCATATAAATTAACCTGTGAGTTAACGTTCTACACACGCGTTTACTTCGAACATTTTCATTGTTTTCCGCCGAGTGAACTGCGATATGCGTTTTTCATATCACGGGTGAAACTCCACTGTATACCATAAATCACAAGTTTACCACTCTCCTTGCACGAGTAGCATCCATAGAAAATAATCGAAAAATCGAAAAAGTGTGAAAAATTTCATGAGCTTTATTGTGTATACCATTCGTTTTATCTCACTATGCAGAATTGGAAAATGTGGAAAACACGCGCATTTTTTCCCACGCAATTTTTTCTTGACACGAGCAATATTGGAAAAAACGCGCGTCCAAAAATACTACATTGCATGTTGAACAACTCAACGTTGAGAATTCCAACAAACCTGCACAGTGTCATCGCCTGAACCAATTCCAGATAAAGAACATGCTCTGAAGTATGCAGGGAAAAGTAAAACAAAAATAGAGCTGCATTTTTATGGTAGAGATGGTCTAAATATTATAATATTGGAGTTTCTCCCTAGTGATATGGAAAAAACCATATTCCACGACTACTGCATATCACTGCGAATATCGCGTTTTACACCGAGTACTACGCCACTTCACGTAAAACGGGTTGTGAAACTCCAGTGTTATATAAACACATAGTCAACTGTAGTTATTACAGTACGAAAAGTTGCAAGAAAATCTCGGAAAATGCGATTCCTCCACAAATCCGAATGTAAACTCCTGAGATCAGCTGAAGAAAACTAACATACACTCCAACACTTGTACATATAAATGAGCAAAGCTGAGAAGAATAGTCGTGAATATGAAAATCCACATTGAAGTTTCACCCTAGTGATATGAAAAACACTAGTGTAAGACTCATTTCACTACTACTGCATATCACCGCGAATATCAGTTTTTCACCCAGTTTTACGCCACTTCGCGTAAAACGGGTGAAACTGCATATTTGTAATACTACAAAAATAAACGAAACTCCAATAATAGTTGCCGCGAAAAGTCTATAAAACGTCATGAAACTTCTGCCACTACATAAAGAAAGGTAAAGATAATGATGATGATGGACAAACTTCGATAGAGAAAATAATCGGTACCATGCAGAAAATTAGAGTCATTCCACTTAAGCCAAGGCTCTCTGGCTGTATACGAAATGATACACTTTTACCACTTTTGCACGCATGCGTTAAATCTTCGCCGTGCGCAGACCGCCTCTCCTCAGTGAGGGAACTCTACTCGGCAAACCGGGCAGCTACTCTGTGAGCATTCGAAGCCGGAGCCCGAAGCATGAAGCCACGAATCCATACAGTTATCATGAAATAAATGTTTACACGATAATAATACAGCGACAAGCTGGCCTGAATGAAAATCGTCCAAACAAATAGGACATATATCGACTGAACTAGTTGCAGTAGGGGGAAAAGGGCAACGTCCATATATATTCTTATAACATACGGTTGCCTTCTTCGTATTCTTCCTGTTGCTGACCAAAATGATCATAAGCACGAGAACGAGTAAACAAACACCGCAGAGACCCAAGGCCACCAGTAACCAGTAAGATGCGGGGCCCAGGAAGAGAACCGCGATAGAGGCTCCTGTGGTGAGCAAAACCACCATGCATACGGCCAGCAAGAACTTCGACGTCATCAAGGGCGACGACACGTACACGGTTAAATAACCACTACGTGAATAACAAGTTCAACCAGGGAAATAACACAAGAATGTTTTTCGTTAAGAAAAAAAATATTGGTAAAAAACCCACCTTTTAACGCACGTGTGAAGCCTCGCACTGCATTTGAATCTGAAAAAATAAGTGAAAATAATTTTTCCCCAACAGATCGAAAATCATAACCTGGCCTGTAAAAATTCCATAAGAAAACTCCGTGTAACCACCAATGACACAAATTCTCAATCAACAACAAGAGACGGTAATAAGCACATACACTGTAGAGATCGGATAAACTTCACTTCATAGGACCCCATATTGGTCACAGATAAAGCGATAATCTTCTTATCAACAAGCACGAGAGTAGTAGCAATGTTATATGAGTCATACTAACTCGATTAGTTGGAACCAGAAGGCTTGAAGGAAACGTGAAGGAAAGACAATAGTAAATGGTAACCACTGGGTGATAGCAACCACATAGTGTCACCAAATACGCAATAGTGTCACCAGATAAGTAATGAGGACTTTTGCTCATTTGCGAAAATGATTATGTGCAAATAGTTTATGCTCAAATACGCAACGGTGTCACCAAATACCCAGTGGTGTCACCAAATACAGACTAGTGTCACTAAATACACGGTAGTGTCACCAAATACTCATGAGCTGTGCATTCCTCCTTGGATCCTTCGGGCCCTCCTCCTCATCTCGTGGCCCCACTTGTGTACGACACATCGGGCATTTCCTCGCACTAGGCCCACTCGCCACTTTAAAGCACTCTCGAAAACATTCTTCATGAAAACGATGACCACAGGGTAATTCGAGAATTTTGTTTCCAGGGTCGTACTCGGCCAGACAGATAGAACAACAACCATGACTACTCTGAGCGTTAGCTTCTAAATCGTCGCTAGTAACTTCATATCGATTAGTTTTCTTAGACAACCACTCCTTGAGCTCATCGTTACGATCAGGTCCTTTGTGCCACTCCAACATCAACTCATAGCGAGTGAATGCCAAAATAGAGCACGGCACCGCCACGCCTAGTATAGAAGCATATACCGCAATTAATAACCACAGTAATGCACCATGGCAAAATAAGCCCAGTATGATGCCCAATACGATGACGATGACCAACCAGGCTAGCCACAGCTTGAGAGATCCTCCTCGACTGAAACTGCGGGCCAACAGTTGGCGCCAGCCCGTGTGCCGTTCGGGTGGTGGGGGTTCTGGGTCCATGCAGAACGGTAGTAAAGACAGATCTGAATGAACTTGCTTTCTGATACTAGTCTTGAAATCATCCGGGAACCTATAATGTTCCCGGGCGGGGGAATTCATCACGAATTTTCCACGGATGGCTAGGAACACATTCTTCAATCAGTTTCCCATGTAAATCTCGTCATCACATTAGCAACATTTTCTTCGGTGTTATCAAAACCTAGGTGAGGCGTAATATGTCAAAGCTAAAAGGGTCCCTGATACTAGTGTGAGAGGATGTGCAGATGGTCAACTACATGCGTTGCCGACAATATTGAAATTCTGAGGGAATTCTTGTTGGTTTCTGTACACTTTTACCCAAATTTTCATAACTAGTGAGGAAATTTCCGAGCTCAGCTGCGTAATCAAATATTCCAACACTAATAACAGACACACAGCAACTTATTGAAATTGATATGCGCTTCCAAACTAGTCTAAAGTTACGAGCACTACGATCACCTTCCGAATGCCGCGAATCTGAGCGGCCGTACGAACTGAAAATACAAGTGTGTAATAATAGCCGTGTAGTAAAGCAATGAGAAAACTAAGAAAATATATCATTACGATGACAATAGTGATAATAGTAGTAGTGGTGATCGTGCAAGGGGTGCCCTCACAAATTGCAGTAGATTGGGAAAAAAACTATCGGTCTTAGAAAAACAAGTTTATCACATACAGTAGTATCGTTTCATCACACACATCAAGAGTCCGCCCTCTCCACGACACGAAGGACCTCGTGTGAGTCGACCTCATACGAACCATCAATACGTCTAGTAGGTAACCGAGGGCCCAGACTAGCCCGACATAGCGGGCATCGATGCTGAACCGCTTTACGCCCTCTTGGTAGACCATGAAAGCACTCACCAAAGCACCCTATATGAAAAGCATGCTCACATGGTAAACTCCTTATTTCATCATCAACCTCATATTCACTGAGACAAATCGCACAACTAGCCTCCCATCCCGATTCCAACGCTCCCAATCGCTTTTCCTCCGTAAACCGATACACTGTGGTAAACTCGTCGACCCAGGCAACCCATTCAGCTTCAAAACTGTCTTCAACTGCATCATTGGCGCGTTCTCTGATGCGGTCGCCCTCACTTGCTTTGGCATATCCCAGTATGGCCAGCGCAGGAACGACGATGATTACAAGACTGTAGCCGGCTGTGAGGCCTAGCATCACCGCTGGTTTGTCAGAGAGAATACTCCAAATTATCAATACCGTTATGACGATACTGCACAGAGTTCCCCACCAAATCCATGCACAACGGTACCGTCGCTGGAAACCAGGGTGGTTCACCAAACCTCGGCAACATGAAGAAAATAAGGCCATCAATGAACCAAAACTACTACACCATGCTTAAGGCGGACCTACTTTGAATCTTCCCTAGGCAACCTCAAGATACCATCCAACACAACATTGAGTGCATTACGAACAGCGACACCCGCCAGAAGCGACTCCACGGTGCTATACAAATCTAGGGTAGAATCAATGCCCGGCGATCTCCAACAATAGTCTTCTTACGACCAACCGAGACAGTAGAAACACCCAACAGTGAAGACATCTGAGATACTCCACCAAATGACCTCGAAAAATCTATTTTTCCACGGCCACAAAAGAACTCAGCCGAACCTGGCTCGTTCAAGCACCGCTAGAGCAGCTTCGGCGCAGAACTGTCGATAAGTTATGAATCACTAGCACTGGGCACAGGATATAGAGATTACACACCATCGCAATCTAACTATTACTACTATGACGTCCCAAGG